TTTTATATATAAATTGTAACGTTCTTAACAAAATTCGTTGTTTTATGTTTATAAAATTTAATGCATTTAACATGTCCTGTATTGGAGTATATCTACTACACTGCAAAATAATCCTCATAGCTTTATTCTGCATTTTCTGTAGAGTCTGAATCTCATTGTTATTTAAAAATAATAAAATCGTTGAACAATATTCAAAATGTGGCGCAATTATCGTTTTATAAATGGTCAGTCTGGCAAAAAATGATAAATCCTTAGATATACGCCTTAAGAAATTAATTTTTTTGGCAACTTTTTTAACAATATATGCGGTATGTTGTTTAAAACACATACATTCATCCAACATCACACCCAGATATTTTATCTGATGGACTCTTTCTAGTTTCTGGTTATTTAATTTAATATAATCCTCTATCGAAATTTTATTCAATGTATGTTTTTTGCCTAATACTAACCACTTACATTTATCAATATTTACTTTCAAATTATTGTCACAAAGCCATGCATATAAATTATTTAGTTCCCCGTTAATATTTCTTATAATATCATTAACATTTTTACCAAACATATAAAGCATTGTGTCATCTGCAAACAGATGTATTTTGCAATCAGTTAAACAACAGAGAATGTCATTGATAAAAATAATAAATAATATAGGACCCAATACTGAGCCTTGAGGTACGCCATATTTAGTTTCCTTTCTTCCAGATACTCTCTCACCATATTTTGTTTTTTGTCCTCTTTTTGTTATGTAAGATGAAAACCACTGCAAAACATTTCCTCCAATTCCAATACTTCGTAACTTCGAGAGAAGAAGACCTCGATCAATGGTTTCGAATGCACGTTTAAAGTCTAGAAATACAGCCACTACTATAGTATCATTATCAATTCCCCGTACCCAGTCGTCCAAAATACACTGTAATGCAGTTTCACATGAATGCGCTCCTCGGAGTCCTGATTGTACTGATATGATGATATTATTATTTTGTATGTAATTTATTAATTGTTCTTTAACTACCAATTCCAATACTTTTTCACAAACTGGCAATGAATTGATTGGTCGATATTGGTCACATAAAATAGTATTAATAACTTTTGGTATAGGTGTAACAAATGAATTAGTCCATGCATCTGGAAAAACGCCCGACTGAAGAGAACAATTAACCACATCCAAAAACCTGTTGCCGATGATTTCAAATGTGTCTTTAATAACATTTGTGGGAATCCCATCACATCCTGATTTATTTGGTAATGCATCAATAACTTTTCTCAATGCATTCATTTCTATGACTTTAAATTCGCGTAATCTACAATCAACTCCAAAGTCATGACTTGTGTACAAATCAAATTTTGGTATATCATGAATAATCTCTACCACACTCTCTATAAAATAGTCATTAAATTTTTCTGCAATCTCCAATTCATCCGATACTTCTTGTTCATTAAATTTAATACATTTAGAAACATGCTTTCTCCCTTTATTCATTTGTTTCAATGTTTTCCACATCAATTTCGAATCACCCTTACAATGGTCTATTTTGTTTTCATAATACTGTTTTTTCTCTTTTCTTATCATTGTAACTACCTTATTCCGTTTTTCTTTGAATGAATTCCATTCCTCTTCTCTTCCTGTAATTCTAGCTGCTTCATATTGTCTATCTCGTTCTTTCAATTCAGTTCAATATATATACAATAATGACACTAAAGCCGAAAATCAGGAGAGCAAAACTTTTTGTTCTATAAGGCGTTATACACTCATCAGCATCTGAAACTCGAAACTTTGCTAAATTTGTTTGAAGTTTTGCTGACACTTGAAATTTGGTATACGCATAATGTAAATATGCAGAAACCAAACGCAAATTGCAAAATTCAATTATCTTCATTTTTGCAGCTTTGGTAAGGTTTTATACGTCACCCTAGATTTACGTCACTGTTTTTTTTTTAATTTTTGGAAAAATATATATGTACATTTATAAAATATTTCATTACGGTAGATTAACCAATTAATTTTCATCGTTTAGATCCTAAGCTATTTAACATTTTGCGCCTGTTAGCCGTAGTCGTACATTATTCAACATATCAACATAAAACAAAATGGTACCTGTGGGGTAAATCTTTAACTTTTCATTTTCAAGCGCGAGCTCCGCTCTTCAGCGCTTGCATACTATTAGAAATATGCAACAGTAAATTTAAACAATTGTTTACTTAAAGTTAAAGGTTTACCCCACACATACGTTTTTGTTTTATGTTGATATGTTGAATAATGTACGAGTATGACGTATTGTAACAGGCGCAAAATGTTACGTAGCTTAGGATCTAAACGATGAAGATATTTTTGTTATTAAATTGTAGGTAATTGTGCTGGCTAATCTATCGTGATGGAATATTTTATAAATATACATAAACATACGTCCAAAAATTAAAATAACGGTGACGTATAAAACTAGGGCGACGTATAAAACTTTAACAAAACTGCAAAAATGAAATACTTGAATTTTGCAATTGGTTTTGGTTTCTGCATATTTACACTAGTGTGTACCAAATTTCAAATGTCAGCAAAGCTTCGAACAAATTTGGCAAAGTTTTCGAGATGTCGATGAATGTATAACACCTTATAGAACAAAAAGTTTTGCTCTCCCGATTTTCGGCATTAGTGTCATTATTGTATATATATTGAATTATAGTTTTCGAAAGTTTTATCATTTTTTATTTATAATTGATATTTTTACAACTTAAAAAAATTGACGTTTTATACCGTTTTTTTCAATCTCACGGCTTTGTTATTGCAAATGTCGTAATCGGACCACCGCCATTTTGTAGCTATTTTTATTACGAACAAAATCATGTCCTAAGCATTTTTTCGTACAAAGTCATCCCGCTGAGTTATTTAAAGAAAACTACTAAAAAAATTTTTTTTCACGATTAAATTGTTAATAACTTTTTTTCC